TTTTTCGTCTGTTTTCCTGAAATTTGTCTGATTCAATTTTTCGTTGAAAACGATTTTATTATGAACTTCACAGAAACTTTTTCATAGTTATAGGAAACCAAACAAAAAACAAATTTAAGATTCAGCAATTATTTCGATTAATAAATAATTTTAATGTGTTGCTTCTGACGGAATTCAAACCTGGAACCTCCTGAAAGCTAACAAATAGTAGCTCACTTCTCTGCACACTCAGCTACTGGCGAATACGTATAAATGTTTTCAAATGCTCAGTTTGAACAAATATTTTAAAATTATTGTTTTGAAATCATTTTCGGATACGAAAAATGCACAAATATGGAAATCATTTTCTGAACGTTTCCGGATACGAAAAATGTACGAAAACTGCACTGTCGACAAAAAGTACGTTTCTCTGCTGGCTGGTTTATCCGTACAAATCGCGTGCTGTGGTGTTGATGGATATTCAACATTTGAAAGCAAATTTATATGTCTGGGTGTAGCTGAGTGCGCAAAGATGCTTGCCACAAATTGTTGATATCCGGAGATGGTCGGGAATTCCACTGCAGGCAACATGCAAATAAATTTTTTGTTTTAGTTTTGTCTTGATTATTCACTTCACGGATGCTTTTTCAGTACGAACGCGGTCATTTTAATATGCGCGTAATTGAATTGAATATTTACCAATATACAGTACTTTCGTTGACGTTTATAGTAAGATCAATTGCGTTTCTATTTGATTTTATTATTTTTTTCCCTCAGTGTATGAATGTTAAGCGCCAGTATAGGTGTGGTTCCTAATGCTTCACTAATTCCTATTTTACAAGTGTAGCTTTCTCTAGTGAGTTCCACCAGACAAGGGCTCCTTGAAACAATATAGGCTTAAATCTGGTTTCCTAGAGTTATTGAATTAATTTGGGCGAGAGACCTCACCTTTTCCCGATAGCTCCCCTACAGCAGTACCAGGCAACCGACACCTTTCTTACCCTTTCCTCAAGGTTAGGCTCCCACGACAGCCGCCGTTGATCGCCCACCTAGTTATCTGGTTCAGGTAACCTTGAGCCAGATCAAAAAGGGTGTCTAGAAAACGTCCCCTAACCAAAAGTTGCACATCATCAACATAGGCGATCACCCGACAGCCCAATTTCTCCAGTTTCTCTAGAAGGTCGTTTATAACCGCAATCCAGAGCAGGGGAGAGAGAACACCACCTTGTGGAGTGCTCGTATTGTAGGGCTGCCATAATCCTGAACCCATCGACCCCATCCAAGTAAAAAACGAAGAAAAGTGCGATAGCGATCCGAAAATTGTCGCCAACTAGTTACAAATTCCCCCTCCTGAAGTACAAAGTATCGCAAAGAAGTACATTTGACTGGACTTCGAAGTACGAAGTACAAGAGCGAAAAAAGAAGTACTGTACTTCCGAAAGAAGTACGGTTGGTCACATTAACTATACCACAATTGCTAATATAAAACAATTGCTAATATAAAAAATGTAACATAACTAAGAGTAAAGATTTATCGAAGTACACCGCAGCAGAATTAGATTTATTAAAATTTTGTGTAACTACATTTACGGGCGTGGAAAAGAGTTTTTCGAATTATTCAACAATTTTAAATGATCGTAGAAGGTCATTTTCGATTGATAATTTAAAAAAGCATATTATTTTATACTGTATTTTCGAGATTATTGATTTAAAATATTGAAAAAAATTAAATAATACTTCATTGATTTAGCATATTAAAGAGCAGATTTGGGTAATTTATCACGCTTTTTATAGCGATTAATTTCAGTTTTCCTGGCATATTTTTCCAGCCCTGGTGATTGCATTTAGGCATGCATATAGTGTATGCCTAACGCTCGTATATTTTTTCGGTCAAAAAACAGTAGGGGTATTCACAATCTGGTTAGCATGGTGCATAGATAGCATGATGTGGTAATATATACCCCTAGTATATTACTGCGCAAAAATCCCGTTTCGCAGTATCTCCATTTAAAAATAAATGCATTTTTTACGGTATATTACAGGAAAAATTTGCAATAAATTAAAGAAATTCATGGTATGGTACACATAATACCATTCAAAAAAGATGCACAACATGGTTTGTAGTGTCTCAAAAATACCGTTGATCTTTGATTTTTGTTTTGTTTTTTTTTGTGCTGACGACGTCACGCATTTTCTTCCACACAAAGTTACTGTGTTCGACAGTTTGTTTTGTATGGAAGAAAATAATAATAATAAAATAATAAGACAGTCGGCAAAAAAATAACTAAAAATCAACGCGAATTCTTAGCCCTTTCCTTACATAATAGTATATGGGGCGATCCATGCAAAAACTTCATGTGTTTGATTTGTTTCAAGTTTTTAGGATTGATGCATAAACATAAATAATAAATACATATGAAATTTGAGCTTGATTAATACATTTTTAAAAACCATGATACAAAAAAGAAGGTAGTTTCAATAAACATCTTCTGACGGATTATAAAATTTTTTGAAGTTTCATAAATTGTGAGTATTCTCAACGGCTTTGCCACTTTGATAATATTAAAACAATAAATCGGAGTATTTTCTTTCCCACATTTATACCAATTTAATAATATTTCAAATCAAAAATCATTACCAGTGCTTGGTAATTTTTTTACTTACGTGGTTCGCACCTTTTTTATTAAAAATATATAAAATATGTAATGTTAAAGGAGACTTCATTGAAATTGTTCTTATTATTTTATAACAAAAATCACGAGAGCATTATGTTGTTATTTTTTCATTTTCTTATTTTGATTGCAATCTTGCGATTTAAAAACCTAATTCTAAAGAATGCTCTTTCCAAATAAATCTTTTTATAATCGCCAATTCCGTGTGAATAAATTGTTCTCATAACTTAACATGCAAAACAAAAACTAATTGGGAAAAAATATTTTTGTTTTGCTTTATAATTTCGGGAATATTTGTTCACATGAAACTCGTGATTCGTGATGAAATTCGTGAAAATTTACTTTAAAATTTCTCATCAGATTTTGCAAAAAGTAGGCTTTGTGGTTAGCATATCACCATTAACTTCAACAAATTTCGAATTTAAAATTTCCAATGTATGCAAAAACTTGAATTCGGCTTGCGCAGACTGCCCTCCGATAAGCAATTAGCATAAGTATAACTTTTATCACTTTCTTCATCCGTTCTGAAACCTAGTTTCGTCAACCCAATTTTTGAGATTATGCATTAATTTTCAGGTTCATCATATTCGAAGTGGACTGATGAAATCTTCAGCTTAAAAAAAATATTACCGCTCGTGATCAGGTAGCATGAATTTACTGAAATGTCATAATTTTATTAAAAGTCAAATGTCAAAAGTCAACCTTCTTTTTTGTATCATGTTAAAAACTTTACAGTACAAAAACAAAAACAAATCAATTTAATAGTTTTCCAAATATCACGAGAACGGGGCGAGAAAAAATCTGAAAAAATCACACATACGCACACCAAAGTTCTCTATTAAAATAAATATTTTTAAAATTATTTTTTCTTGAAAAACTTTTAACATACACATTTTATGATAAAAAAATTGTTTCTGAAAATATGCCATCTCAAAAAATATTGAAAAAAATCACAATGGTAGCTTTGAGTATTGCGCAATATTTAAGTATAGTATTATGGGCTGCACTCTACAACTTCGGTGTGAAAAAAAATTCATAACTCAAATTATTGTAGAGGGCACCCCATACATAAAACTATACTTAAATATTGCGCAATACTCAGAGCTACCATTGTGATTTTTTCAATTTTTTTTGAGATGGCATATTTTCAAAAACTATTTTTTTTATTAAAAAAATTTGATGTTTGTAAATATTTCTTTTCGTAGAGAATATTGATGTGTGTAGTGTGATTTTTTTTTAATTTTTTCCCCGCCGCGTTCTCGAGATATTTGGAAAACTATTAAATTCATTTGTTTTTGTTTTTGTGCTGTAAAGTTTTTGAAAATGTATTAATCCAGCACAAATTTCATATTTATTTATTATTTATGTTTATGCATCAACCCTGAAAATTTGAAACAAATTAAACACATGAAGTGTGAACCCCGTCCGTTTTGGTATGGAACGCCCCAGATACATATGTACATTTTTAAAACGTGTTCCCGCGAACCCTGTGGAATAAAAAATTTAGGCACCAAAAAAAGTGGAAATGCAGTATTTTGGAAAAAAACGCAGTATCCATTTTTGGAATCCAAAAAAAAGTATTATACTGCCAAAGAAAGTATAGATACGAGAGTTATGTATGCATATTTCAGTTTTGAAAATATTTACATACATATGAATGGACATTAAAATGGTCCAAAAATGCAAGTGAAAAAGTAAAGTTGGAATTTGTATGCTCTCACCCCCTAGGATTTTTCTATACCGAAAAAATATACCCCTATTTTTTTATTTTGAAATCAAAAAATATTTAGAGGTCGCTAAAAGCGCCCAAAGTTTTACATGTATTTTATATGGGGAAAAACAACTTTTCGTGGAAATGGTATAGAATTCTTAAAAATCTATATTTTTCTATCGGAAAACTCTGCTTATCTGCAGGAGATTCCCAATAATAATACCCAATTGTTTATTTAACCATTTTTTCAATGGGGGGAGAAATAAAAAATCGTTAGTATTAAAAAATGGTTAAATAAACAATGGGTACTATTATTGAAAGTCTCCTGAAGAGAACAAGAGTTTTCCGATCGAAAAATATTTATTTTCAAGAATTCTATACCATTTCTACGAAAAGTTGCTTTTTTCCCATATAAAAATACGTGAAAAACTTTGAGCGCTTTGAGCGACCTCTAAATATTTTTTGATTTCAAAATGAAAAAATAGGGGTATACTTTAAAATAAATCTTATACATAGTTTGCATGTATGTCGCAAGAATTCTAAAACTCGTATTCCTCATACATATTTATTTATATTTGAACATGTACGCACATTCATAAATATGGAATAATTTGTGTTTTTCTTAACTTTTCAGGCATCGTTTTATTCGACAGCGTTAAAAACCTTAATATCTGTTTCGACTGTGATTCTTTTAGGTCTTATTGTAGCTTACCATGCTTTGGAAGTGCAGGTGAGAGTGAGTGCAAATTTAAATTCCTTTTCAGATGTTACAATCAGCGTCCTCAGCGTCATTGTCCTCGTAGTTACGTAATTCATGCATGCAAAAATGATGTTTGGCACCTATGGCATACAAGCTATTGTCTGTCACCAGATTGCACTGTTATTGACTTTGATTCAGGCTGCCCCAAACTTTATAACCCACGTTGATGTTTTCCTAATTCCTATGGCACCCGTTAGAAGTTTTCATAATCAAAAGTTTATTCCAGATCGGAAGAGCCCAATTTTAAAGAGTTCATATTACCTATAGAACGTACTATAAATGTAATCGAATTATAATAAAAATGAAAAACAATTACTCTCCCTTTTGTATTACTGCAATAAATGAACAGTTGTATTTCCAACATCTTTCAAAGTGCATACCTCACAGTTTCAATAAAAACCAGAATAATATGAGAAGTCCCAAAAATATACCACAACTTAAAATTTAAAATAAATCTTAAACTTCCTACGCAACTTACTTTTTCGTATGTAGGGTCAAGGTTGCGGAGTGAATTTTTCTTTTTTGAGAAAGTTCTTAGTGCAGAAGAAGTTCTTTTAATCAGAACTCACTACAAATAAAATATGAAGAAAGTACGTCTATTGATGTTTCGAAATCAAAAGAACAACGTAGCTTTAAAGCCAAATAAATATTAAAGTAAAAATGTTTTGAAAGATCTTTCCAGATTTTTCCTATTATACTCTTCGCATTCTCTATATAAATAGATTCGATAAATCCACTCTACGAGTTTCGAGTTTGAATTCGTAGTTAATCGCACTCGAAAACCAAGGATAGGTTCAGTGTGAGGTCTGATTACTGATTGACTAGGCTCATAAGATGCATGTATAAACTGACACAACATTTATAAAATATGTACATCCCAAACTTTGTTTTTACTAAAAGTATCATCATTTGTACATAGGTATTAGAGGCATATTTCCTGCATGTTTCTTAATAAGTATCAATTCCTCATACCTCCCTGTGTATATTTTATTTTTGTTTGCTACAATTGTCAGTTTTTAATTTCATTCTTCAAAACGATGTGTACCTAGGATATTCCACATTTGATGCATTCACAAAGCCTCAAAAACTATAAGTCAAATAGGTAAAACTTAAAAAATACCCCTGAGTAAAAATTCCTGAAGTGGCCCCCTCAATTTTCACAAAGTAACAAATATTGCAATAAGTATTTGCATTTCTTAGCTTGAGTATCCATAAATACATCAGCAAAATATTTCGCCAGTATTCGATTTTTATATATATATTTTTTTAAATTTAATATTTATGAACCTTATTTTTGTAATAATTATTGCGATCAAAGTTTTCATGTATGCATATTAAACGAAACCTATATATACCTAAGTTATTCGACACACTGAATGCGAATCCAAGGTCCGTTAGCCTCCACCACGTCAGGTTCGTGGTCAGTTGAAGGTCAAGTAGGGAAAAATTCTTGAATAAGCCTGGAAATTCATATATATGGGGCCTTGGCCTCGCTGAACCCGAATCCGAGGTCCGTTAACCTCCATAATGTCAGCTTCGAGGTCATTTAAGTGGTCAAATAGGACAAAAAATTTATTCAATAAAAATATAAAAAAAAATTGTTTTTGTTGTCGAATATGGAGGTCCCTTGATTCCTCAAAGTCATCTAGAGGTCAAATTCAGAAGAATTTTCAGGTTTATTCAATTTTTCCCTACTCGACCTTCAAATGACCACGAACTTGACTGATGGTGGCTAACGGACCTCGGATTCCTATTCAGCGTGTCCAGTAACACAGGTACATATAGGTTTCGTTTAATATGCATACACTGTTTTTTGTGAACGTGCGATATTAATACATAAATAGTGATTGGCATATGTTAAAAAATTTAATATCTACCATTGGGTTGCTCAAAAAATTTTTTTAACACATTAGCAAAAAATTTTGTGAGGAACATTTTGACACCAAAACGCGATACAAATTACAACGAGAAATTAAAAAAAAATTTTTATTTAAAAGAAATCATTCATAACACTGTAATACGCATTGATGACCACTTGGGTGGCCTTACTGTATCTGCTATATACTGCCCCCTCGTCATAAAATAACAGAAAAACAACTTAATGACTTTTTCCTAAAGTTTGGCAGTAAGTTTATTGTAGCACGAGATTACAATGCCAAGCACACATTCTGGGGATCTAGATTGATTACACCAAAGGGTAGAAATCTATATAAAGTAATCCAGAACAGAGGATTTGACGTCTTGTCTACTGGTCAGCCTACGTATTGGCCATCTGACCCCCAAAAAATACCCGATCCTATTGAATTTGGTGTAACAAAGGGTATTGCGCGACACCGAGTTAATACTGAAGCCTTATTTGATCTCTCTTCAGATCATTCACCCTGCCTCATAACATTATCAATGTTTATTAATTATGAAGAAAAACAAAAAAATCTTACAAATAAGCACACAAACTGGTTAAAATACAAAAAGTATGTCAGTTCGCACATTGACCCGCAAATTCCTATTCGGACCAAGAATGATATCGACAGGGCAGCTGAAAATTTCACTGACATAATAGTTAAGGCCGCAGAAATTGCAACACTAAATCTTTCTATTAAACATCGCAGTTCTTAACTTAATAAGTAACAAGTAATTTTTAGCAAAAAAAAACCGACTTCAACTCCCATATAAAAAAAAAAAATATATATATATATCTCATGATCCACTGATCGGATCTCAACCAGATTAGTATGGGACCACCTCTGAGACACTACCTTTCCGATGCAAAAAGAATTATCGAAATCGGTGGACCAAAGGTCCAAAGTTATGCGGTAACATACATAAAAAAAAAAAAAAATAAATAAAAATATTCCGACGAACTGATAACCTCCTCCTTTTTTGGGAGTCGGTTAAAAAGCGCAAATTAAGAAGGGAATGGCAAAGAATTCGCTCTCCTAAGCTTAAACAGGAGCTGAATGTGTGTACAAAGGAATTACGTATTTTGTTGCAAGCGGAAAAAGAAAGAAGTACGCAGTCGATACTTCAGTCCTTGTCTGCTTCGAAACAGACTAACTACTCCCTTTGGCGAACACTGAAGCATGCGAAGAGGCCCGTTCTTTGAGAAGCATCATTACGTACTCAGAAAGGAAGCTGGGCGAGGAATGATGAGGATAAAGCAAACGCTTTCGCCTGTCATCTTTCACAAGTCTTTAGACCCAATGAAGGCTCTCATCCATCCAATATTTCAATACCCCCCAGTAACCATACCACAAGTCCGCTTCGGGTTAAAAAGAAAGATTTAATTAACACCATTGTTAATGATATTCAGAAGAATAAAGCGCCTGGTTAAGATAGGATTACAGGTGAAATGATAAAGGAGCTTCCAAAAACTGCTACATTTTTTGTTACATATTTTTAATAACATGCTTAAGTTGGGGCACTTCCCCGACTTATGGAAACTTTCGGAAATAATTATGGTGCCAAAGCCAGGCAAAAAATCGACGGTAGTAAGTTTATATCGGCCGGTTAGCTTGATTTCTGTATTTTCCAAAAAATTTTAACACCTTCTATTGAAAAAAATACAACCATCACTAACAAGTACCCAAAAAATACCACCACATCAGTTTGGTTTTCGTGAAAAACATGACACCGTAGAACAAGTTCATAGAATTGTTTCTTGTATTAGAAAAGCCTTCGAAGGGAAGCAATACTGCACCGGTTTTGACAAAGTCTGGCATGATGGCCTTATATACAAACTAAAGGTTTCACTCCCTGCAAATACGCATGCAATTCTGGAAAGCTTTCTGCTGGGGAGAAACTTCAGAGTCAGGCAGAATTCTATTGGAACGGAAAGTCACCAATATATGCAGGTGTCCCTCAAGGCAGTGTTCTAGGACCCATAATAATAATAATAGATTGGCGCGTACACATATGTTAGTGTTTGGCCGAGCTTCTCCTCCGATTTGTGGTGTGCGCCTTGATGTTGTCACACAAAGAGGAGGGACCTACAGTTTTACGCCGACTCCGAACGGCGATTGTATTTTTATGAGAAGCTATTTTTCATGGCAGAAATACACTCGGAGGTTTGCCATTGCCTGCCGAGGGACGACCGCTGTTAAGAAAAAACCATTTTTCTATATTTTTTTCGATGTTGCTTTGACCAGGGCTTGAACCCAGGCGCAGCGGAGAGGAAGCGCGCACTGCTTACCATCTAGGACCCATATTGTACGTAATATACACTCGTGATTTGCCAACCGATGATAGTCTAACCATTTCAACGTTTGCTGATGACACAGCTATCCTAAGCAATAGTTCAGACCCTAAAGAGGCTTCTTACAAGCTGCAAGAATATTTGAAAAAGTGAGAGCTATGGCTAGGTTCTTGGAGGATAAAGGCTAACGAAAGCAAGTGTGTTCAGACAACATTTACTTTGAAGAAAGAAACTTGCCCAACACTAAAAATAAACAGCAAGGCTATACCACAAAAAGATAGTGTCAAATAACTTGGGATGAAACTAGATAGAAGACTTACCTGGAAAAAGCATAGAGAAAACAAAATTTCTCAAGCGAAACTAAAACAAGCAAGCCTTCTATGGGTTATAGGACAACAAGACAAATATATAACAAGATGTTGCTTTTTAATATGATGATTAAACCATGCTGGGCATATGGAGTCGGGCTTTGGGGCACAGCGTGCAATTCCATTTTGAACAGACTTCAAAGACTGCAGTCAAAAATTTTACACTCCATATGCGGAGCAACGTGGTACATAAAAAATACGAATATCCACGAAGATCTGAATGTAAATACGGTGCATGAGGATATAAGAGGGCTAAGCACCAGTTACTCGACTAGCGAGGGATCTTCTTAGCCCGAGATATGCAAGAAGACTAAAAATAAAGGATTTCTCCGATATTATCAAATGATGCGCAATATAATAAATTTCGTATCCGAAATATATTAATTTCGGCTCTGGAACTCGTCCTTTCAGACCGA